CATTGGCACAGTCATTGCGCGGGCCCTTTTTGAAGATGGAGACAATCGATTCCCTCACGAGCAGCGGACTAGCTCTGTGTTCCACACTTTAACGGTAAGATGGAATTTTCCGAATAACATCGTTTAAAGAATAGAAAACCACTACTGATCTCATTATTGAGCAAAGTCAAAGGGCCAATGAAACCAGATGGATTGAACACAGCTCAGAGGTACATATATTGTTTTCATCATGCTTTGCATAGCCACAATAATAAATGCTATTATTATCATGATAATTATAAATTCATCCACACAAAACGCGAGACTCCGAACTAAAATTTATGATGGTTTCTGTAGAACCCACCAAAATTCGTAGCTTCTTGGTTTAGGCCTAATCGCCTGCCAAAATGCTGGGGTTTCGTGGCACCAATGCCCATGATACGAGAATCCAATCCTTAGTAAAAATACAACAAAAGATTGCCAGGGAAGGGTAAACTTATTTGAAGACTCGCCATTGACAAAAGAAAACAAATTTATCAGAGCTGAGTCAGACACGTAAAGCTGTTTTGTCAAGTCAAAAACTCGAAAGTAAATCTGCGCGGTGGTACGAGCAAAGTGTGCGAAGATGCACTTCCAATGCGCGGTTTATTCGAGAATCAGGCAGCACTAAAATGAATCAGATTGCGTGGACCAGTACAATGTCCTCTATGTCAACAGACCGAAATCTCTTTATCACCCAAAGAGGTGATAATCTGAAAGCGGTTATTTTACCAACTGGGTAGTATAATTTAAAATGACGTCCGGGAGTTAAAGTATAATAGCAACATCAGTCGAACGGTAAAGCAGAATTAACCAGCGTGCCTCGAATCGACAAAATTCAATCAGCAACAGTCCGAGTTTGAACGTGTTACTTCAACACAGTTGACTTTCCCAACAATCAATTCCAGTAAAAAAACTTTACTTCCATTCATCACACGAGATCCATGAATGGAATGGATCTGACTCCAAAACTTGGGCATCGTGCTCATGACTATTGAGGAAATTAGCTTGTTCACATGATACTGCCCATGGAGCCTCAGCTACAACAGACAACTTGGCTAGTGCCAAGTAAGCCGAACTCCGCCCACAGGTTAGGCCGTTGATTACTATTGTATATAGCCTATTCACTGCAGTCCAAAATTGTTTCACCAACTCAACCAGTGCTACTGAATCATCAGGTAATCAATGCCTCTGAGGGGCTACTAATTCAGATCCACAAGCAACCCTCGCTGCGGGGTGTATTGTTCGTCTAAGTTGATCCCATTGTTCATCAACACTACCATGCTGCAGTGCATTTAGTTCTTGCCCTAGTACTGCTACGCAACGTGCAGATAAGAGATGAGCTGTTAACCGGATTAGCTGGGCTTTTCTGCAACCAGGGAGTCGGGGAATGAACTACATCAAGACCGCTGCGTGATCAGACTCAATGCAGATGGTCCGACAGGACCTGCAATTTCACACTGAGCCGCGCCAACAGCAGCTGACTACTGTGTGGTCCATTTGAGTTAGCGTACCAGCTGAACTGGAGCGCCACTTTTCCGTCCGCCGAGAGCTGTCTCGGAATTTGGTACTGCATAGGAACAGATGATGGTCTACGTAGAACTGAAGAAGTCGAACTCCGTTATCTGTTTGACAGGATAGAGCACAAGCTTGTGATGCAATCAGTTTTCCAACCTGCACGTTAAAGTAACCTGCAAATACGGCTATGTCGGAGCTTCGACTCATCCGAATGAGATCGGAGGGTTTAACGTAAAAAGTATCCCTGTGTGTATTAGAACTGCAATCGGTCGGTGCATATGCCGATATGATAAACAAACACCTTTCGGTGTTGCTTCCATTCCGAACGCTGGTAGACCCCTGAAAACGCACTGCACACAAGTGACTGTTGACGGGGAATCAAAGGATTAGTGACGCTTCAGCTCTTTTATTGAGTACGACGCCTAATCCACGCTGACCTGTTGAGCGAACACCGTCGTCGCCGTCGACGTACGGAAGGAATACCTCGAGGACAAATCTGGCGCGCTCAAGTGGCTTATATTACTGGTATCTTGAATTCGAGTCTCCGACATACAGCAAATATCGATCCCTAAAGATTCCATTCTACGCGCCAGACAAGCTTCTTCACCTACCTGCATCAGCGTTCTTACGTTGAAGGCCCCCCGATTTAATGATTGATGAGGCTTCAGAATCTGCAGTGTATTTGGTCGCAAATTATTTACAGTGCTAATCGGCAACAATCTTTGGCGAGTAACGAGAAACGAATGTTATGGGTTGGGAAAAGACGAAAGATAAAGGGCTAGGTGCGGTAGGCAAAGAACTGAACAAAGGTTCGTATGTCTGAGCAGTAGCCCACTTATCCCTACCCACCCTGCTCAATGTAATGGACAGTGCGCCCTTGATTATCCTGTGCGACAACTGATGCAGTATGAAATAATGTTTTGTTTGTTTACGCATTGGAGTTTGGTGAATCGGTACTGCTAGGATGTCCAGACACGAAGCAGGAGAACAATTGAAATTCTCGGCCAAGGCCCTTAGTTCAGTCAAGCACCTGACCACAAGGCAGCGGATAAAGCGGATTGGAGGCCCATTTACCAGGATCGATTACTCATACATCATTATACCGACGGACATGCTAACTCGAGTCGAATCCCCAACCTGGAGGATCAAGAGACTGAACTTTGTCTGGCCTCAACCGGCTTACATTCCAGGTATGATAAAAACCATCCCGTATAGCTCGTTGGGTCATAGAGGCGCACAAGTAATCACATCAGGTCAAGGTTCAGTCTCTTCGTGCCAATTTCGCATGTCAGTTTTCTAAACATGTCTAAGGGATTGCATCACGGAGGAGAGAGATGCAGTCAGACAACCAATGAGAGAAATTCTTTAGAAAAAACAAAATTATGGGTTACGTGGTATCCGCTGGTGGTGAGCGGATGAGCGCATCGAGCGTACGGAGAGCGGATTCAAAAAGGAACGTGTACTGATGACAATAACACAGATCGCATGAGAAAGACGTACCATCGGGTGTTTGATTAACACACGCTGACCTTTTCCAGCGGCCAGTGACAGAAGAATTCGTTTTAGCTCCGTGTCCTCGATTGCGGTCGCCTCGGCGATGGACGCGTAGGTGATTGGTTCATTCTGTTCACCGTTGAACTGAAGCAACACAAGTGCCTGAAATTCCGAAACTTGTAATTCTTTCCGCAAATGTGGTGTCTGAAATCCGATAGACCAACAAACGAGTGCAGGTGAGCGTGGAACAGCTCGTAAGACGTTACACAAACCGAAGTCAGATGCAAGAAATTGTTAACCAGCCGGTGACTGAAGCTCATCCGAAAAAGGGAGATATAATGTAGTAGGAAAAGTGATATTTAATTAAAAACGATCAAAACCAATTCCAGTTCATCCAGATCCTGTGAACAAAATAACGGTCTGATCTATTCTATTACACGGGTGAAAAATGGTCTCTCTGTAGTGCTTTATCATCATTCTTTTGGATTCTTTCACTGAGTATTGAAGCAGCGTTATTGTGTTGCTGAAAATTAGTAGTAGTCAGTTGCAAAGGAATACCCAGACGCAATGCAGAGGTGAAGCATCACAATGAGACTGTACACCTATTGGAGCGATGGACTGCGTGCCTCCATGACCCCGAAAGTTAAAAAAGATGGCTCCACACAGCCTCAAATCCAGTCACGCCTAAAAGACCCATGAGTAGAGGCCAGACATAGTTGTCTCACAAAGCCAACTGATTACTGCCTTCTGGTTCCCTCTGACTATCTACTCCAGCCCATAGAGAGAAAGACCCTCCTATCCACCTGTCGAGTTCTTCTCATTCCCAATCATTTGATATGCCTTCTGTTTTTACTGCCTAAGGGATATCGCACATCGTTTATCGAGTAAGGCCAATCAATCAGAGACGATTTGCATACATAATTGACAATTAGTTGTTTTTTGAGCGACTGCCGGACTGCAGCCAACAAGAAACATTATTGAAATTGTATTTTCACACTGCTGTCTGGGAAACTAAAACATTAAAAACATCTAACAGTGCTAACAAACAACATCTGCATTTCGAAGCGCAAAGTTGTGCTCATTCGATATAGGTCACTAAAAGCTAAGAGTTAGTATACCACTAACCACCTCTCGCGCGTAATCAATACCCTGGACGGCATACGTACGGTTGTACATTTCTACCTGAATAAAATGATTATATAACTACTGTCTATCAAATGAAAGGGAAACAAATATTCGAACAGAGAAGTCAGAAACATGGGTTTGCACAATGTATCCATGGTCATTTCGCCGCATCTGTATACGTGCATACTGCAGTTCACGTGATTTTTATTGTCAGTGAGATAACAGATTTGAGAGAAAAAACACAAGATCGCTAATCACAACGGACAACGCAACGCAAAAACACAAAAAAGGGGAACGAGATAGGGCAAGGGGTCAATCACCAAGGCAAAGCTAATGTGACTAACCATTCGCGTTGTTTGCATAGATC